ACGTCACAAGCCTTGTAACGTAAGCAAAATATGTTTGAATCTACACTAAACCTACTGAACATTGATTACATCGGTGGAATTACTATCTATCTGAATTAATGAAATTAATTGGATTAACATTTTACAATTGTATTATATGCATGCTGAGTTTAAAGTACTGCAAGTAAAGCCACATGATATACTGCTGACATGAACAAAACTAAACAGTTATGACAACAACACTAAGAAAATAACTGTTTTCAAATTGTTTTTAACTAGTTACTGCCTGTTATAAAAACTGGACGGATTTAAATAGTGTTACGTTTTGACTCGTTTAATGTATAGACTCGTGTTGCAAATAAAAACAAAGATTGTACATAATTATTTCGAAATAAATATTCTAGATAAGTTTTTAGACATAATAATTTAAAAAGGTCAGCCACATATCACATGATTTCGACTAAACATTTGTGTGTACAAATATAACATTTCCACAAGAATAAACATTCAAAGTCAGCAAATAATCTGGAGCACACACACACTGAAAAAAAAAAGACTGACAAGGGGCTGAACTGACATAATAACATGGCTTATAAAATTTATAAAATTAAATCTTTTAAAATTATAAAATTAAATCTGGATGAACACACAATTTAATTTAAAAATAATGATAATAACTAACATCATCAAATAAATAAAAGAAGGACAAAAATATTTAGCGGTTGTATTTGTAAGACGAATGAATTAAATACTCTTATCATGATTTACTTATAAATGATATGCTTGTTTTTAATTAAAGAACCTACCGTACCTTGAGTACCTATGTATACCGACAGTAGGTATACTCAGCAACGGAAGTTCTTTAAATAGTTTAAACAAGTTATAACTTAAAATATTGAAAACTTTAGATCCACCCAATATTCTACAACTGATCATTTTATTTTATATATTTTAGAGTAAAATAAAATTATCTTAATGTATATTCTTGTGAATAGTTATAAAACATAATTTATTAAATGTTTTAATAAATAAATTCATTACACGGGCACCTAATTTGTCTATGCAGTAGGCCGTCTTTATATTTAGGCAAGCTCTTTTGAAAAAGCCAATTAATTTTCAGAAGATATTCAAAACACACGATTTTATAAAAAAAACTTTATTAATTTTAGATACGTTTTGATAAATAAAAACACGTTACAGTAAAACCTCGGCCATTACGAATATTTGGCTGGAATGTTTAAGAGTTTAAAAATCTAGAATTTCATTACAACATTAATAATATAAGATGCTTCCTTTTGTTACTTATTGTGTATTTTGAATATTCTGTAAAATTTTAAGGCGTTTCTTGGGAATTTTATTGTTTTTCTTAATTATCATAACCCTATAATATAATCAGCCAATTAGCTACCAGAATATAAATAGCACATTAAAAAGTAACTTTATTCGCTCCAGATATAATATTTGTATATGAGGGTAAATAGTAATTAAAAACTAAAAATAAAGAACTAAATTAGGTACTGCGAATATAAGCATTAGTATTAAATCATAATTTGACTTAAATAATAAAAGATTGGACTACTTATAAATAATTTAGATACTAAAAGCAGTATCAAATAACTTGTAAAATTCGATTTTTTTAAAGTGAAAACTGTACTAATACCATATAATCAGTCTAACTGTCTAAGTTTTAATCGAACGTTGGGATATTGGCGGGAAGGAATTATTATTTTGTTTTGTATTTATTTTTATTCAATGACTAATCATAATGGCGCAGAATCAGACATCTGTCATATTTCAGAAAAATGCATACATCTTATTATGTACTTATTTATCTTTTACATAATATTGTCTGCATATAAAAAAAGATGGTCTCTCTTGTTACAGGTTCTAAGACATCTATTGTTTCTAATTTTTTTAGATGTATATTTAAGTAAACACACAATTATCAAAAGAGGGATGTCCTCTATTTTTTTTCCATAACAATAGCTGAGCAGCCATTAAAAAAGCTCTTAAAAAATTGTGAACAATATTGAGCCTAGTATAAGTAGACAGCCTTAATTAATGTTTGTAGCGAAACTTCAAATTGCTTCCATTGTTCATTTCTTAATTCAGTTTAATATGAGACTCGTGTTAAGATCTATCAGATAAAAACAAACTTATAAAAATTGAGAATCTCATGCATTTTAATCCCTTGACAAAATGGCAGAAACTAATAAGCCTTAAGTGGCAACATTAAACTTTAGTCTCCGTTACTACTAGAATATGCACGTAAAATAAAGAACATAATTAAGGAAGGTTACGTCGCACAAGAATTTAATTTACCTAATGTTGTCAACTAAAATAATTCATTACCCTCATCATCAAAATGAAAAATACTTTATCACAATTTAAAGTAAATGAAAATTAACATAATTACGTAAAGTACCTAAAGTTTAATTTTTTAATTTTGCTGATTGCGAGATTCGTTTAAGTTAACATATTAGAGATTCATCAGTTCTTAAGCCAATAACAAATATCTTATCTTCAATGGCAGTGAGTATATTCTTAACCTAAAATTAATATATAGACTAATAACATTTTATGGTAGCCATATTTATAAAACGATGTCATATTTTTCGTTATGAGCAACAATTTTAGTAAAAAAAATGGCTAAATGTTAGCTTCTGTAATCACCAGTAGTACGCCTATAATATTATACAGATTTTAGTGCTCATAATATATAGTGTAATATGTATTTATTTTATACACGTGTAAAACGTTTTATGGACAGTTTTAAATTTTCTTTTGTATATAAATATTTTGAAAATGAATAAAAGCCCCGTAAAAATAATATGTATAGGTGGAATGAAATGTATAATTAATCATAATTTGCTTTGCACCAAGTATTTTGTTTTGAGGATTAATTTAATTTATAATTATAATAATATATAATAGTGAAAAAAGTATCGTTATGGCTTCTGTTTTCGGTTCGAAGTGGCGCCACCTGGTGTAAACATAGCTTCAGTAGGAATAAACAATCTTAGCCCTGTAACCGGAGATCAAATTATATGGGCAGACAGAATATAAGATCTGAGGGAGAAGCCAAGATCTGGCGAAATTGTTATTAATTGGCAGTTGTTGCATTTTTAACAAGGACGTGGAACTTGGTTTACATTCAAGGTAACAGGCTTAATCACCATAGGACTTAAAAAACCGTAATCTATAAATTTAACAAATTACAAGTGTGTTAAGTTAACCTGTGACTTCCTATGGCCGGGTGGGGTGTTTGACTACTGATGCTTGTGACCTTAGCGAGGGCAACCTGATCAAAACGGCAAGCGATTCAAAGACACGTGTAGAAGTGCATACATAATTGTTTTTTAAATATTTCTTTTATTTGTTAAATATTTAAGTACATAACCATAATAAAGCAACAATGCCTTTCTCATTTAATCTCCAGTTACCTTTAATTAAAAGAAATCGGTTGAAGCACCGAATATAGAGTATATATGTTTAAGCTACAACAATTACATAGGGTTACACATTTTTATAGTTGATTCAATTAAACATTTTTAACATGGATTATCCACCAGATATTTCTCTACCCAAGAGATAGAGTATAACTGAATGTTTATTAATCATGACGTGTTTGCATATCTGTTTGGGCTATTGTTCAATTATAGCGTAGTCAATAGGTTATTTAAATATAGTATTGCGTCAGACTTTTTTTCGTAATTAATATTATATTAAAAAGACAAATTAGTTTCATATTTATGCGTGGAACACATTGCACAAAATTCACGAAAAACAACAAACGCTTCAGAACAATTGTGTTTCCAGCACTCTCGTACGATTTACATATAACGTGTTAGCAGCACAACTATACGGAACACAAAGAGTGTGGGTTACAGCACGCTCCTCGGGAACACAACGTGTGTATAATTAACACTGCTGTAAGGGAAAGCAACAGTTGCGCACTGTCGACTATTCACAATACTAAAGTGCTGAAAAAACACTCTACGTACGTTAGTTAGCAGTCTAAGGGTTTGTCTTATAAATTATACGCAGCAGTGAACGTGTTATCTGAGATTCTATGGTGCAATTCTAGGATCTAACTGACAGAATATGGTATGTCGAGGGTTTGTCGGTTCACGGACACGTGGGGGTTTAAAAAAAATATTAAATTCTCTCACTCTTCTATTAAACTTGTATTCAATTCGGTTTAGTGGTTGCTGAGACTAAAACATTCTATTGAACTCTACAGGTTTATGAAGACTAACAGAAAATAAAGACGTAACAGTAGTGTCTTATCAGTAATCATTGCTTTAGAGATAAGGCCCGTTGTATATTTCGGTAAAATATAAATTCAGTAACTTTGGCACAAATGTTACAAATCAGTTGGTAATGAAATCATTAAATGAATAATTTACATGGCATACAGTTGAATTGAATAAAGATATCGATTGCAAATGTCAAAGATATTGATAGGATATACGGATAAGAACGAAAATATAAGAAAGGTACCGTTTCAAAATGTAACTCGAACGAAATGCTCACGGCCGGTGTGGCAATCTTAAAAAGACAACGTAGTGAAATCCGTGTCATAGCTGTCATGTTATACGACCACAACGCGTTGTGGCAATGGAAAATAGAAACTTGTTGATGGCAAAACTCGACATTCTCAAAGTCAGGGCTTTGAGAATGTCGAGTTTTGCCATGAACAAGTTTCATCCTTAGCAACTATGTGCTTTTTCAGATTAGCAAACAGTTTTATCAACTCAATGACATTTTACATACAATTATAAGCCGACTTACTACTGTTTGATTCATTAGTTATACGAAAATACCACAAATCCCGATTTTTATTCTGCCAAATTAATACTTTCACGTAAGATTTTATTCATTTCGTATAAAAAAGATCTGCAAACACGCCGTGTACATAAAAATCTGTTAAAAATGCTTTGTTATAAACACTCAAAAGCTGCTTGGTTAGCAGGAGTCTTCCTCTGTTTGTGCGTATAAGTGCGTCTCGTAACTTGACATCATTCTATTCTTGATATTTCTCTCCTCATATGGGTGAGTTCCACCTGTTCGTGAGAAAATTTATTATTCATTACAATATTTTTTTTTCCAACAAAAATAAACCAGAAAAAGTTTATATTTTGTTTTAGATAACCAAATTAATAATTACGTTGTATTATTTAGTAACAATTTATAGAATACAAATATTTTCCACTTAAAAAAACTACTATTAGTATTAATTATATTATTCATTAATTTCATTGTTAGTGTTGCTTGAAGAAATTATAGTAGTATTATGTAGTAGAAAAATATCAATAAGTTCTCACTTGAACTTTCAAAGCAAAAAATACTGCCTGATAAAGTTTTATCAAAAACATACCTACTACAATAATTTCCTTTTACCCTCTAAATTATTTCTAATATCATACAACAAAATTCTTACCTTTTACAAGCACTGATTTCCATATCAAACTAAATTTAGAAATATCTGCTCAAAAATCAGAGGTAAGCTTGAAGCATGATTTCTACTAGTTTAGTAGATTTTTACGATGATAGTAACTCTAATGGAAGAAACTGCAGAGCAGGCAATCTAATGGCTGATATCTTTGCATATAATGCAATGCATCCCCTATCATCCGAATTTTTCTTGTCAATTTATTACTAATAAAAAAAATAGTTATGTGCATAATGTTAAAAAATATAAATAAATGTCATGTAGCAACAATTCGCACTGTAATATTTATACCCATAGAGTTTATGGCTGTTTTTTTGTAGAATAAAGTTGAAGGCTTGTTGAAAAGATAAAACCCCTAGTTTATATTTATAAATACTCTAGGGTATATTTATATCATACCTGGCAACCAGATGACGAATTAGTGGGGTTACAAGTAATATGAAACCTGATTTCTCTTAAATGTTTATTCTACATGTCGGTCGTTTTTAAATAGTTAACAACAACAAAATATACATTATTGATATAATAGTAACAACGACGTAACGTAACAGTTTATACACACCAGATTACGATTTTATAAGGGTGACCAATGAGAATAAAAAAAATTAAGATATCAAGATTACTTTTGTGAAATCTTGAATAACATCAATATCTGTTGACTACTTTTGTTTAAACAAGTAAAGTTAATTTTATGTTAAATCAATAGACAAAGACTTCGCATTTTATTATTTGTATTTTCGTTAATGACATCGTAATAATATATTACTTGACCTACGATATATTTGAACTAAATATTACTTTCAATGAACACATTTAGTCATTAATGCGACTTGGTCACCACTTACAAAAAGAGTTCAATTTAATTTTTGATCTGTAACCACTTTTACTATTAATAGGAAAAAAATGCGTTTAGTTAATAAGATTTAAATTAGAAATTTTTAATTATAGTAAATAATTTTAACATTGAATGGATGTGCTTAAAACATGGTCGTTTATAAATATGGAAGTTTAAAAACAAGAGTATCTCAAACATGCGGAAATACACATTTTCGATTGGCATTATATTATCTGTATCTTTAAATAACCAATCGATTTTTTAATATAAATATTTCTATTGCAAAAAATGTATCTGGTATGTTATTCCACATTTACAAATGTTGTTACTTAAAAGTAAAAATACTTACAGACCTTTCATCAATATAATTACACTCACATGAAAATGGGATTATAAGATATGTATTTCAAAAGCACACAACGATTGCTTCTGTTAACTGACAACCTTCAATTTTTTTGCGAATAAGAAACAGGTTAAATACGAACAGTGTAGCTTTTGGTCTACTTTGAGCTGGCAAGACTGAATCTTGATACGAATATTTTCATTAAAGAAGCTATTTTATTTGTACTATAACGAAATATTTCTTTCTTTTAAAAAGACAACTCCTGCACTAGGAATAAATCCTGTGTAGCGTGGAACTTTACAAACATATATGAAACGAACACAAAGAACGCCCGGACTCAGAACATCCCATATGGGGATCGAACCCCTCAAGCTCAGCGCAGTAGGAAGCGGCGAGGTGACCGCTTAAACCACTACGGCATCCGTGCAGTCCTGATATTGATAAGTCATTCTTTGTTTGCGCTACGATAAATATTGGCAAATAAGTTTTCGACACGTGTTCGAACAGGGTTATTGTTGATGCAGAATTTGTGTGCGATTTATTAAATTTATCATATTTAATTCTGCTCAAGTCTGATTATGATGGTGTATTTTTTTCAGGTTAAATATCGTTTTTAATTACAGGGTGTATAAGCAGCATTTCAGTGAAATTTCAACTTGAATTATACATCGTAACACCCTGTACTTCAGACTCCACCCTGTATAGACTAACTCAACTAAGGTGATCAAGTCAGTTGCTTGTTGAATATGAGTTGATGATATCAGTCGAAAACCTTATTGTAGGACTTATTTGATAGAATGATAAAACAATATTTTGCTGGGATGTTAATGTAGATTTCTAAACGGATGGTGTTGGCCGTACGTTCTATAAAATAAGTCCCACAGACTACACAACAGCTAAAGTTACATAGTCTAAACATTTTTTTGACTAAAAATGGGTCCGTAATTTTTGGCAATTTTAAATATTTCAAAAACTGCGTACAACATACATTATCTAGCGTTTATTTTACAATATTATTTTCAACAAGACGATGGCAACACTTAGTTTAAAAATATTTTACCAGCCTAGATTCACGACAATAATATTATTGCTAAGTTTTATAAAAAAGTTATTTTTACGTAAAAGTATTGTTTTCGCATTCCCCAAAATGGAAGCACCCAATCTTAGTGATTACACTAATATTAAATTGAGATTGCCATGACAAAAAATGTTCCTAATAAGCTAGCGTCGCAAAAACAGATTTTAAAGCAATATAAATATGCTATTGATATATATATATATATATTAATCATTTGTAATCCTTTTCTACTCTTTCTTTTAAATGCAACTATAACCCACCATACAAGCAGCGTCCAATGGAAAATGAGCATTCATTAATATGGTATATGCGCTATCAAATTAAATTATGCTGTCTTATAAACTAGTATAGATAATTTATTAAGGCACGTGCGTAACCTTAAGCTTAAAAAGTGTGACCTTAATAAATAGTAATAAGAAATATAATTATCATGTGTGTGACTTAACAATAATGGCCAGTAGCTTTTTTATTAAATATATACATGTTTATAAGAAAATAGAAGGCAAAATATTGTTGTCACATGAAAAGCGTTTAACAATTTAAATTTTCAATGGTGACAATGAGTTTAAGGACATTGTTATGATCAGTTGACGCCACGCCATTAGTCCGACTAGAAGTTGTAGGAGAGGCAATTTAAATAACGTTCACTGGAGAGCTGAGGGCTTAGTGTGTGTTTAATTCACATCTACTCGATGACCACGGTGACCACGTTCGGCGCTACGATTGGCCCGCACTGAAATCTCCACCAATCGGAACGCCAAACGCGCTCGCCGTCGAGAGTTGATATGAAATAACACTAGGTCCTCTGATCCAAGTACGAAAAAACCTCGTTTATTCCGTGAAGTTTACAGATTATAGCAATAGTTAAGTGTATGTTGCCAACAAACGAAAATGTTACCATACTAAAAAACAAAAATAAAACATCTTGCCTTTTATTTTGTTAGTATAAAAAGCTGTAGCGTGTAAAATGCTTTAGTTGTGTATTATTATAATCTTCCACCAAATAGTTATAGGTAATGTGCTGAATAACTTACTAGTGAATACAAGTTAGTGACACTATTATGGAGACGGTTAATATATGATACCGATTCACAAAAGTATTTAAAATTAAAAAAATATAATTCCAAAACACACGTTTAACGTGGAAGTATAAAAGTATCAATTAATCAGCAGCGAAAGATGAATGATAAAATAAAGCGTAAAACGTGTTTTTTTATATCAACCGTCTCCAGTCCATCAAAAGTGACCAATCATCGTAATTATGAAGTAAATCAGCAAAACTCACCACTTCGGTGGTGAGACAGTTGATGGTGGTAGGTGGGGCGCGGGCGGGTGGTGGCGGAGGTCGCGGGGAGCGCCGCCCATCGCAGGGAGTAGCCCCGCGGGCTGGTGTTACTGGGTAGCCTATAAATTCATATAACTTATAAAACATGTCTTCGAAATGATAAGCAGAGATGTATTAAATATTTACGTTTTGTACAACTATTATTTGAAATGGTATATTATAATTTAATCCCCACTTATGGTTATTTTTGTCAACCGTTGGAAAAAAGCCGGACAAGCCGCCCACTGAGGGTTCCGTACAGGTTCCGTTACACATTTGTAGGTAGAAACTATAAACAGTTTAGAAATCAGATCTCGCGGTTTTTGCCGTGCTTTGCCAGAAATTCAGTTTCCAAAACTTATAATTATTTATAAGAGAAATTGAACCTCGATGATTACGTACTTTAAATAAATACTATTTTGTTAATGATTTATTGCCAAATGTATGGTTTTGAGATTTTTCCCCATACTTGTAATATAAGACGATATTACTTGCCAAATTTCAGAGTTGTAGGTCAACGGGAAGTACTTTATGAATTTCGATTCCCTTGACAGTTTCGAAATATGCGTTTTTTGCGGCATAAACGGCCGTTTCTTTTTTTTATGTTAACTCATGAGATTATTTTACAGCTTTAAAAGACCGTAGATCTGAGTATATGGTTTTAATTTCAACCCGATACCTCCACGTATTAACGAGATAAAGGGTCTTAACAGACAGACAGACGGACAACAAAGTGATCCTATAAGGGTTCTGTTTTACCTTTAGAGGTACGGAACTCTAAAAATTGAGAGCATTATCAAAGGAAGAGTTAACATCTAATAAAACAAAAAATAAACATTGTTTTATATTTTGTATTATATGGTGAACAAAAAATCAATTCCTTACGCATATTTCTAAATACCATCACCAGACAAAGAAGGCCAACACCATAACATACTTTCATCCCCTAAGCTTACACCCGTCCAGGTGTATTTATATTTTATTATCTATAAAATAAACAACACATCTAAAAACTTTTCACTTGTTCTTGTTCTACTTTATAAAACCATTTTCTCCCCCATCTACCTACATACAACCATAAATTAAAGAGAACCCATAATACACGAACTTTCGTTAAACAATATTAAGTTGCTAACATTAAAAATTCCAAAACCAATCCAGAAGCCAGTTAGGATTACCTTGTTCACTACTACTGGACTCGGTGAAGCTGGGGGTGCCCTCCGTCCACGTGGGCGTGGATCCCTCCACTGACGCAGGCGGTGTCCAACATACGCTGGAATTTACCAGCAATAAATATGAGACTTTAAGTATGAAAATATAATTAAGGCCTCGACAAAAAGGTCTATCAGATCTAAAGATACGGTAAAACGCGGCGGAGTTACTTCCAGATTTCTTGAGTAGTCTTCGAGTTAGAAAGTATCGGTAATCTGACATACAGGTCTACCTAGAATAGACGCCATTGCATCTCTGAATTGAAGCTCAGACTTTATTTTTATTGCTATTTGCTATATGAAAAATAACGAAATGAATGTTTTGATACAATAATTCTCGCGGTGGTTAAGACCAAAATTGGTTATGATATTTTCTACAGCAATTGATATTAGACATTTCGTGTTACGTTTCCAAGGCTATCATGCTTATGAAACCATCCATTAAGAGAATTTTATGATAACCTCACAATAAAATCTCAGTTCGTCCTGCAACTTACCGTGTAAGAAAGATAATAAAATCTAACGTTTTTAGTTTAAGAGTAGTTAGCAGTACCTGGCATCATTACTGCGTGCGCTGCTTAATGCAGCCGGTGTTAGCGCTAAGGACGATGCAGACGATGTTGTCATTACGCTAGCAGCACTCGATGCACCCCGACGTCTTCCCGAAGCACTTGAGGATGTTGTCGATGAGGAATTAGTGCGAGAAGTTCTCGGCGGAGGTGCCTCTTCAAATGGTGGAGGCGGAGTCGAACAACAGGATAACGGCGCGCCCGCTGTAGTTTAACTAGCGTTACTACATAATCTAGCTAAGGTTTAAGAGTCTAAATACTACGAGAATATACATATTGAAAGATACTAAATCTACGGAATATTTTTAAAGAATGCGCATCATATTGTTGGGTACATTTTTCTACTAAATACACAAAATAGAAGTTAGCCGCTGTATTGTGACGTCTACTACAGCTCTATTGTAAAAAAATTGCAGGCAAGAATTAACATAAAATAATGAAGTATATAAAATATGTTAATTTAGAAGTTTACGCGTTAAGAAGAAAGGAACATCAAAGGACAAAAAAACAATTCTTGAGTACAATATACTTTATATTGTACTCAAGATTTGTTTTTTGTAAAACAAAATATATCCGATTTATTTTACGTTGCAACAGTACTAATCTAGCTCTAACACAGAACTGGTACCGTTTAAAAGAACCGCGAGATATTAATTTGCAATTGTTTCAAAATTCAAATTAAATTATCTTATACATTGTTTCAGAGTATTCACAATAATTAATTATGCACCGAAAAATATCTCTATTATGTTTTTTAGTCTTTTTCAGCGTGTTGTCACTGAAAATACATCGCAATAAAAATCGATTAATTTACTAAGACGGCAACTGGAAAACCTATTTCTCGAAGTTCTTTAAAAGGTTTATATTAATACATACATACATGATATTATATAAATAACCTATTTGAATAAGATTATTTGATGCAACTATAGAGTTAACGTATGTATTTCTACTGCCCTCCAAAAATAAAGTACAAAGACACAATTAAGATGCAAAAAATAGGGTTAGCTTAAAATCTCATAAAAATCAGGCATCTAATGTAACGTACACAAATAGGGAAGGATGCAAAACAAGGAATAGGTAAATAGCTGTTAATAAAAAAAATAACGACCGAGCAAATAGCGCCTTAAAATACAAAAATGGCAGTTGTCTACGATCACAACACATTCTATATCCAGCTACATGCTATTGACATTTGAATTGTATTTAATTGTGAAAAAAAATGATTTTGACATTTCTAATCCTCTCTTTTAACACCAAAGCTATATCGCTTTGTTTTTAGGATATGTAATTTCATATTAACGAACACTTTCGGCCATTTTGACTTATAACATTTCTTCGACATCTTTCTTCACTTTCATTATTCTTTTCTTATCAGATTTTCTTTTTAAACTTCCTCTCTTTTTCTGTCTAGGTTTGTTTGGAGTTTTAGTCAATGGTGTTTCGGAGAATTGTTTTATTTTCTCGTGAACGTTGCCACCAATTACTTTGGAAAAGACTGGCTTAACCGTAGTCGTAGCTGGTGAGAAATGGTTTTTGTCAATAGAGGTCAAACTTCCATTTGTATATTCTATTGGCTCAAATATCTTTTTAGTTTCTTTTACAAGAACTTGAACGTCAATTAGGTTTTCAGATCTTTTACTGTCTTGAGACGAAGAGAACGAACTACGTATTGAACTATCAGAATCGGTTTGCGCATTCCAAATGTGTTTTTGAAACATATCGATTTTGGTTTTTGCTTTTTTATGGCAGATCACTTCATCTTTAGTCAATCCATGTGTCATGCCATAACTTCGAATTTCAACTGTTGGTTTTGCCTTTTTTTCTTGTAGAAGATTCTTTTCTTTTTTGGATTGGTTAAAGTTTAACTTTTTAGTGAGCCCAGATATTATTCCCGATTTGGAATCATTCTTGTCAACTTTTGTGTCAGTATTCACTTTATGAATTGGCAACATCTTCGGTTTATCAGTATTAGTTACCTTTTTTAGAGACTTTGCAGCAATAATTAAATCCGATGAATTAACGTTATAAACACTAACTTTTTCTGTTGAAGAATCCAAATTAGTCAGCGATTTCCGGGATAATTTGTCTCCAATGTGTGATACAACTTCCTTAATGAATCGAGAGGGACTCTTCGACTGCCCGCCCTTTGCTTTTTTGGTAAAATCATTTAACTCCTGCATAACTGTCCTTTCTTCGCTACTTGATTCCGTAAGAGAAGTGTCATCGTCATCTAATGTGTCTAAATGTTTTATAAGAGTTTTGTCTATATTAAACTTGGCCATCATATCGGTCTGATCGATTAATGCCTTGTCAGGGTACGATCTCTTTGTAGTAGAGTCTGGTTCCTCAACATAATCGAGAAACATGTTAGAGGCTGCCAATTTGGTTATTGTAACAGAACTCTCGGATACTGACGGTGGGATGCGACATGCAATAGGTTCTTTGAAAATAAAGTCATGCCCGTAAAAGCAGAAATCGTCATCACTGCTTGTGATAGGTGTTTGCGGAGGAATGTCACTCACAGATATGCTTAAGTTTGGATAATCACCTTTTGTGTCGAGGCTAGATGCTTGTGTGTTGCCTCCTCCTCTTTTAGCTTTTGGGGATCCTCGGGGAGGGACCGGGGGTGGGACTCTCTGCTTTTGAGACCCTTTCAACACCGCTGGGAATGCTATGTCAGCTTCTGAAGAGGCCGTGGTCGTCTTAGCTGATGACATAGTAACTTTAGCGGCTGTGGACACGGGCGAAGTCACTGAAGCCGGTGTTATATGCGCTGTCACGTCCGACAAAGAAACTGGTGATTGACAAAAACGCTCAAAATTTTGTAAAGATTTATTAATATCAATCAAAATACACAATAAAATGTATTAACAAAAGTTTGGCACATCACAGAAAAATTTATAACAATAAAATAGGTATTAAAAGATTTGTGTTTAAAATGGAAGCGTAGTAAGAGACGGTTTGTTACATGTCCAAAATAGCATGTTTGTATTTATATTTTTTAGATGGAGCTTGACCGTTTAAGGTATCGTATTTTTTATTGGTGCATCAAGTTTATGATTTTCGAGTTTATAAAAATAAATTACAGCATGCAGTTTTTAAGGATAGTAAAAATAAAAGCAAAGTTGATGGTATACCCAATAAGAAAAAGTTCCAATAGGTCAGCGCAGCGTGTAACAGGAGAGATAACATGAAAATAAGTTTGTTTATTTACGTATGTATTTTATCTATAAGACCCAATTGACTTGCCTCCAGTGCCTGACAGAAAATAGCAAAGTTATCATACCATAATGTAATTTATGGTTTCTAATCTATGATTTTTTGTTACGATTTAGAGCTGGTAAGTAAAGCCACTTTGGGTCTAATTTATAAAGCAAAAAGCGTAGCAAGAGATCCATAATTCATTTTATTTTTGTTAATTAAAAGATAATTATAGTTGATAATTTGATATTATGGCGGGGTTATGATGATTGTTTATACGTGAACGACAGCCAAAGCAGAAGCAATAATACGCCTCTCTGCAAGTCCCTATTCAGTCACCAATTGTAAAAAATAACCTTATTTGAATAGAGCTAGTATCCGTTTCCGTAAACCTACCATATTTATGTACAATCTAGCTTAGTTTTGTAGCTAGCGTGTGTCCCAGCTAGCTATTACACGTTACCTGACCAGCTATCGTAAGTATAGATATAGTGATTGTTACTAACTAGTGTTTTTTTCTGTTGTTCAGTAAAATTGCGCAGGCTCAAATGAGTTCCTTATGCTTAAGCCAAAGCTTAATTATTTCAAATAGCTTATAAATAGCTTTTGCCCTCGGCTTAGCCCGCGTGTATGTCGGTTATCGCGGTAAAAAGTAGCCAATGTCCTTCCTCAAGAATCAAACTATCCCCATATCAAATTTCATCTAAATCGCTTTAGCGGTTATTAAATTCCTATGCCAACTTTCACCTCCCTTTTCACCCCTTAAAGAATTATTTTTAGGATAAAAACTACCCTGTGTCCCTTCCCGGGAGTCGAACTATCTCTATACCAAATAAATTTCATCTAAATTGGTTCAGCGGTTTAAGCCTGAAGAGGTGGGTAACAGGCAGACAGACAGACACACTTTCGCATTTATAATATTTATCATTAATATTTACATCTTAAACTTCAAGACACTAGGTTTAATGGTCAACAATTGTCTAGTAAAAGATTTTCATTTCTTTTATGATAGAGGGAACAAACGAGCAGATGGGTCACCTGATGAAGAGTGACTACCGCCGCCCATGAACTTTGAGGTAGGAGTACGCTCTTTTCGCGAAGGTCGTATCGGTCCGGAAATACTGCAGACGGTATGTTCCACAGATTGGTAGTGCGAGACAAAAAGTGTCTTGAAAACCGCACAGTGGTGGAGTGCCAGTTGTCCAAGTTAATTAAATTTTGCCGTGTGGAACGATAGCGGAAAGTTGCGGCCGGTATTACATACGATAGAGAATGCATCATCAATCATTCACTTTAAAGCAGAATTATGTAATATGTGAGAAATCATCACAATAATTGGTTAAGCTAAGTAAAAAAAAAAAATATAAATTTTTGTTTTGATCTCGTTGTCTTGTAATCTGTGTGAGTGACTCCGTGCAAGGTACAGACGTGTGTAACAGAAAGTCGGGGGCTAACTGGCGTGCGCGGTGTTATAGTTGGCCTTCGATTTGACCAGTTGCCGTGCGCGGTATTATAATTGGCCTTTGATTTGACAAACTGGCGTGCGCGGTGTTATAGTTGGCCTTCGATTTGACCAGTTGGCGTGCGCGGTGTTATAGTTGGCCTTCGATTTGACCAATTGGCGTGCGCGGTGTTATAGTTGGCCTTCGATTTGACCAGTTGGCGTGCGCGGTGTTATAGTTGGCCTCCGATTTGACCAATTGGCGTGCGCAGTGTTATAGCCGGCCTTTGATTTGACCAACTGGCGTGCGCGGTGTTATAGTTGGCCTCCGATTTGACCAATTGACGTGCGCAGTGTTATAGCCAGCCTTTTATTTGACGTACCTATAGTTGGCCGTGAGATGTTGAATGTTACACATCCTATGCCACTATTATACATAAGACTCGCATGTTTTGTTTGAGTTCTCTGTGTCTGGGTGTTAAGTAACTGAGTATTTTTTTTTTTGGTAAACTCTCAATTTGTAGGTGTGGAAGCTTATTAACGAATTAGGATACTAAAACTATTCAAATAAGGTTTTATTTGCAAATGACATTTAAATTAATTGATGAAAGCAGCAAACCAGTTTGAAAAATAGCCATTTATTTTTTTAGTAAAGTGGTGGGAATGAAAAGCGAAATAAGTAACAAAGTGTATTCCTTGCTACACTTCTTGGTATCTCTTTTGTTCTCTAATTTAACAAGAATCATCTAATTTATGATTATAGTTTGATTATAATTTTTATAATCTAAAAATTGCAGTCTTATATTGATATGATTTATAAAACGAGAGCAAAGTTCGATAAAGATTTATAATATGTAATTACATGTTAATCAAATAATTAATGCGAACAAAATGTCTGATCCTGACAGAAGGTCGTGGGTTCGTTTCCACTCTTAAAACTTAATAATAGGTCTTTACCTATGAAATTGCCGTTTTGTATGCAATAAGTAAAAGTACTTATTTTTTAAAACTTGCACCTACTGACTATTACTTTTTCCAAAATTTAGAGAAGAGCATCAATAAACTGCCAATGCGTTGGCAAAGATGCGTCGATTGCATGGATGAGTACTTCGAATAACAGAAATAAAAAAAGTTTGAAAAAATAAGTACTTTCACTTATTGCATACAAAACGGCAATTTCATAGGTAAAGACCTATTATATAGAATATTATCAACTATTGTGGACAGGTTACCTTTTTTCTTTATGGATTAGAGGGTAGGAATTAGGCTTCGGTTATCACATTTTGTCTGAGAAAACTAAGGAAAAAAAAAATGTTTTATTTTTCGTGTCCCAGTTAAAAAGTAGCTAATTACTTTTAAATATAAGTTGAATACCTTTAAATTTCAACATTAACTTTTTCAGTAGTTTTATCATGAGACTACAATAATTATTATTGACTGCCTCGGTGGTGGTATCAGTGGTTGCGTATGTGACTAGATCGGACTAAATGTAGGATCTGAATATTTGTTTTGGAGTTTGGGTATTTTCTATGTGTGTAACATGTAGGTATTTACAAAAAATAGAAGTATATACAGGAAACGTATATACTTTATTTTTTATTCTTCATAAGTCAATCTAGCTTTCATAGTACAAGCTCTGCTTGGTTTGAAACTACATGGCGTAGGGTAAAAAATATTATTATAATACTGTTATTCTTAAACGAACTTTGCTCAAGTCATCATTAACCACCTCAATTATATTTATAAGTAAGTCTTATTTTAAAGTTTTATATACCTACAATCCTGTTAAATATATTAGTGATTATATGTATATTTATACTAAACTTATATACATGTATATAAACACAATACAACGGTGAATCCCTCACCTGCTTTGATGCTAGCAATCCCACTCGAACTGGCGGCTCCTATCCGTTAGATAGCATGAAAATATTACGTCATACCAATCAGAAAGACGTATTTAAACAATATTATAAAGTATTTATCTTACATAAATATATATGTATTCGCATTTTTTAAGCAAATGTGATATCTAGAATACTTAAAATATGCAGAAGTGAAAAAAAGCAGGAAAATTCTTAAACAATATGTGCTGTATAGTTAAGAATTACATACACATGATAAGTTTATTGTAAACGGGATATTCACTATTTTTATTTACCGATATTTCACTACTGTTACAAGCACCATGCTCATGGATGAACATGGTAAACATCACGTTTATAATAACTTATCAACTGAAAATTTCCATGGCAGTTTGAATCAAATTATGTATCCAGTATATTTTGCCCTCTAGTGATATGAAAGTTTATACACAAATGGTTTAAATTATACTAGTCAGTGAACGGTCGAAGTTCTACCTCTACAATTTCCAGTCCCTACATATATTTATATCGACTGTGAGTTTAATTTTTTATAACACTTTGTAGTTTTTGATGTGTAACACTTGTCCTCACACTTTCCTGCAATCTGTTGTTTATAGACATAGGACAAAATCACAGTGAACTGTGAAAGACCGGTGATTTATCATTCGAATGTTTCGTACGTAGGTTAGGGTTACTACTTACTTACACGTTGTTGGCAATAAGCTGTTTTCAGACGATGCATAAATAGCCTATTTTGCCTATTCAACAGTAAATCTAGTGATTATTTTATAATATACATAATAATTTAAAAAAATACTAGATTTACTGTTAACTCTAACTTACGTACGCAAAAATCGAATGATAAATCACAGTTCACTGTGATTTTGTCCCAAATCTAGTGGGTTATTTCGTGACGGACGATGTATATAATAGGAAGCCGAGGAAACGCTCGCTATTTGAATTGACAAATGAAATCGTACAAGGTTGGCTGTCAGAAGGTGAAATGTCATATGCGAATGATGTAAGACTCGTTTCTTTTTTTATTCAGAATTGCCTGGCTATAAAAAAATACTCGTTTCTTTTTCACGTTAATATAGATAAAATGATATACCCTTCCCTGCGTCTCATAGCATTCGTGGAACACCAAAACCAGTCTATATTCTTCAATACAGATTTCCATTTTGAGTGGATGGATTTGAGAGTACATTGGACTCAAAAATTATATTAAAATGTGTATATTTTTTAGGTAAATAAAACAGTTAATCATCTAACAAAATCTCATTTATTACCATAATATATACATAAAAAATTTGGTCAACCAGCACAGCAGTACAGTATAAACATACACAGGTTCCCTTCTGTATACTAACAAAACTTTAGTGAATGATTGTACTAGTTTCATTTCAAACTAATATTTATGAATAATTTTTCTTTTATTATTCTATTCAAGGGTATTATAAATGTATAAGATTACCTTGTCCTATTGTAAGTATGATTTTTTTCAGGTCAAATTCAAAGATTTTTACTATGAAGTATATTATCAAAAATAATTAATAACATTATTTCTATATTTAAAAAACACAAGAATACTCAAAAGCATTGACTCTAACCTACCCAGTCGCATTGAAATTGTATTGTATGTTCATTGTTTATACTAGGCAAAAAAAATGGGACACGGGTAGGTTGTACTTTACTTGAGTAAGTTAAATTAATAAAATCGCAAAAGTAAATTGTAACAATATATAAAAATATTAATTTTCACAAACTAAAGGAGTAAACAGAAATCATTTCACAAAAGTTTTGTTAATCATTTATTTCCATAACCAATAAATGTTAACCTCAGTTTATTTTTAAAAATGTCTGACGAAGATACATTTAATCATATTGAGAAGTTATTAAAATGAAACAATGTCTTTTTATTTATTTATAATTTTAACAATTGTGACATTAAATAATATATTAACATTTAAACACATAATTATGTATGCGTACGGGCATTAACACGACCACATATGTAAGTAACATATATTGAAGATAATTCGGGGACATGTCAATGTGTGGTCCAGGACATTGCACTCCTTGAAGAAATGTGCTCGGGGTTTGGGGGTTTCACGTCGGGTCCAAAATTACCCGTTATCCGTATATAACCGTTTATCTTTAATAACGATTAATGCCTCTTACTAAAAGGTTCAGTTAGTCAGTACTATATATGTACTTTAAAAAACGGCTGACGTTTCGACCAGGTTGCACTGGCCTTAGTCACAGGCTGACTTAATCAACGGTGTAGTGAGTCGGCGTGGGACCGTACGTATACATAACTATATTTAATCATACATTGGTAATTATAAATTTTCAGCCTTAAATGGACTTCCGACACAATAAATTATTCGACCAATATTTTTTTTAATCCCAGGAAGGAAGACTCGTAGTTTGAATAAATAAATATCATTAATAAGTTATACAAAAATCAGTCAAATGCATATTTGTGATTTCGTTCATTGTGTATATATCTTTCAGTCTGCGGTACAATTCAAAGGCATCCCACAACACTTTTACTATAAAGATTCACTAGAAAAGCTTATAACCAACACCTATAAAACATACTGTCAGTAAAGTTTTAACAAAGCGGAAAGATCGTGTGCTGGTTTACACTAACTGCTGGTAAAACTGACGCTGCATAAATAAATCTACATAGTTAACACAGCGCAAGTCACAGTGTATATGTTGACGCTTTCAACTGAATCAGAATAAGTAGATCCGCATTCTGTTAAAATCTTTTTACAAAAAGCAGTTTCACCTTTGACGACCGGATGGCGTAGTGGTTTGTGTAACGGACTGCTATTCCAAAGGTAGCGGGTGCGATTCCCGCTCAAGTCAAACATTTGTGTGCATGAACATTTTATGTTTGATTTGGTCTGGGTGTTTCTATGTATAATATGTATGTATTTACGAAAAAAAGTATTTATGTATTTATATCAGTTGTCTAGTACCCATAGTACAAGCTCTGCTTAGTTTGGGACTAGATGACGTTGTGCGAATGTGGTAAAATATTGTTATTATATTATTATTATGAAAAGCTTATACAAAGCTTTGCACCACCTTCAGTGGGACAGTTATTTAGATCTCCTGTGCACAGTTTAGACTTACGCTCTGCTGGAACTTCACTGACGATATTCTAATAAAAACGACGATACTACTCTCTCAGCTAGAACTCCATTGGACATTAATAGTGTTGCTAGTTTAAAAACAATGATAATTGAATCAAACGGCCCGTACTTCTATTTGTAAAATACGCTATTAAAAATTTCACCGCACCTGGTATATACAACGAATAAAGCATATTACAATATATATTTTATATATAATAAGACTTCATGTATTCACCATACTTTTTAAATCGTCTGACTGTTCGTGCACCAATAAATAAATAATAAAACATGATAACACAAGTTTTTTATATCTATTCTACACTCTTTTTATAGAGATTCAGTAGCAACTACGATCTGTGGTTTACTAACTAATATATGTATTTCTACTAGCAGTTTGTTTGTACATTGAAGTGTTTACTAATACCACTACAATACCGTAGTTATTATATTGTTTTGGCATAATCTCGTTTCAATATCCAATTTAATAATAATTTTATTGTTGTTCTTGATTTAGATGAAAAGCATTAATTATAGGTGAAATATTCAGGAACGCAGTTTAACATAAAAGGAATGCATTTTTTTTTCAGTGTGCAACTATTACTATTATACAATGTTATAATAATCGACTCGATAAAATACTACTAGAACCCACTTAGAACCTGGTAAAAGGACCAAACGCACATCACTATAAATACTGTGTATTCACATTACTACAGTATTATTAGTTTTTTACACTGGTATTAAATGTGTATGGTAACAAAACAGACTAAACAATCGACTATTAGTTTAAGTAGAATATTTTCCGCTTTTAATCGATTGTAGGTTTTAAAATATAAAGTAATAAAAATCGATTTAATATAAGTAGATTTTTTGTATTAGTATATATTTAAAAAACTAAATAATATTATTGGTGAAAATATTCATTTTGAGAAGTCGATTTACATGTTGTAAAATCACCATGCGTTTTTACATTTTCTGTGATCTCAAATATCTTAACTTAACAAATATCGGAACTATAAACACTAAAGTGATTTAACTTTATAATATTTACCTTGTATAGTAAGACATAGAGACTAAATTAAATGCCAATATATTTTCAGCATCTATTGTTTATACACTATGTTTCAATGAAATTGGTTTTTAGTTCTTCAAAGAAGTAGTTTTAATTTTAACAATAATTGCATTTGTGACACAAACAGGCAAATTGAAAAGATTATATTGTATTGTGAGCTTTGCACCTTATTGTTAGTTAAGTAGTCAATATTTGTCAAGTTAAAATCTTTTAGCCAGATACATATTAAAGCTTATCAACATTTCAGCTAAATACGCACCAAGCTATTATAATAAATGCCTCCTGAAAAGACAATCACATCATACATTATTTTATCGACTAACGATTCACTATTGACAAAACATCAATATTTTACTATGACTATGGACATTCAACAGTAATCGATTTATATCGAAACATCGATAAAATAATCGATTGACTTACAAACAATTTAGTCGATCAACCTCAATTATTTCCTAATAATTATTATCTATATTCTCAATCGGCAGGTGGTACTATTATAATTGTACTACCGCTATTTTTGCTTGCATATATTTCAGTTTTTTCAATACTTTTAATGTACACAATTTCTTTGATCACCTTCTCTGACTCTGAGTCTGTTATATGCTCATCACCGTTTAGCTGGACTACAGAAACGTGATCTTTGACTTGAATACTTCTGTCTTGTGTTATTGGAGATTCTGGTCGTAAATAAACTGTTTGCGTCGATCTCACTTTCCTAAATCTCATGTCTTTAGGAAGGGTCGAGGCTTCTCTAGGCTCTAAAGTTGGTGAGGCGCTGCGCCGGTAACTTGAACTTAGACTTTTTGGTAAGGTATTAGCCCCTTCAGCTGAACTTGGACTATTGGTAGCGCTCTCAGTCTTGCCAACTAAGCCAATGTCGACGAAAAATTGTTTGAATTTTTCGACAAATGTTGGTGATTTGGCTCTATTCAGGCTGTTTGTTAAGCGCTCATTCGAATGCTCTTTAGAACTAACTTCATCGATCCTTTCTGGTATATTCGATGTGCTTTTATGTTTCTCTAGAATGTTCGATCGCCTCTTCCATCTGGAGTCATCGTCTTCATCATCAATGAAAGGAATATCTTGGAGGTTGTTCTCGTTTCTGGTATCAACTGCTGCATCTTTTTTCTTAGGAAAATTTGTATGAGCTTCTACGTATATTTGGGGGACACTCGTACTTGTATTATCTGTTTGTATTCCGCTATCGGCTAAACTTCCATTGATATGGGAACTGCCAGCTCCTGTACTAAGAACCTTAGTCAGCTGGTCTGATAAACTCTCCATACGATCTTGTATTGAGGTTCTATATGCATTACTAGCGTATGAAGTGCAGGGGTCCCTGGTCATATTTGATGTGTCAAACTCTATTCGTCTAGGATATGGACCTAGTCTATCTCTGTCCATTTTCAGCCTATCTGATAGCACTGAGGGGTATTCTGTCGCAATTTGAGGGTGTCTCTGATTCCATGTTGAGATTGTGGTGTCGGTAAAATCGCTCATACTCGATCTCCTTGAAGATCTAGGCGATAATCTAGACTGCCTCAACATATCAGGGTTGTAATCTGTTATCGGTCTGCCGATGTAGTTACGTCCTGATAAACAAATTCCTCGCATCAATATGATGTAAGTCGGTATTTCATGATTTTGGGTGGGTACATTTCAGTTTATTTCGCTCCCCCGTCGTCAAACCATGCTTTACAAACATGTTGAAAACATCGCGAACCAACACCGTTAGCACATTGAAAACAATCACATCACATTTTTATTAATTAAAAACGTCAACCGCGGTGAAAAAAAAAAGAAAAAAAAAGGAAAAATCTACAAAGGGCATTTAAAAATAGGACGCATCAAAACAGCGGTTTGGGTAACAAACACCGGGAGGATAGGGGTGGGGGGATAAAAATAAACTGAAATGTATAATAATATATAGGTACCAACATAATTTCGCATTCTATGTTAGGATAAAATTAGGGTTAAACTACTTTTTATATCAAAATAATAATAGGTTAATAATATTAGTAGAGATTCGAGCAAAATCTAAAACAAGTTGACGATTCTTGTACCAATATATAAAATAGCATGCAATACACAATGTAATACTTTTATAACTCGGTTAAATTATATTTTACTATCATCTAAAATAAAAGACTTAAAAATTTAAACTAAAAATACTATCTACAAATAGGCACAACATTATCAATTGGTATATGCTACATCCACCTTCTTCGATACCAATCTTTAGCTTACTGTATTTTTTACGGAATTTTAACCGTAAATTGTACTGTCAACTTGCTTTAGGAAAATTAAAAAAAAAAAACCAACACATTGACGAAAGCTCTCATACCTGGTGTGTCGATTTCCTCTAGCGGTCTATTCGGCTTGGCGATGCTCTTCCTCTTAGACGGAGAGTGTTTCAATGCTGTGATAAAATATAAAATGTTAGGTTGGACACTTTTGCCAGTAGGGTGTAAGAGAGCTATTGTGGATAGTTTTATGTAAAACTCAGGTAATTTTTAATATTTATGAATTGACGATGTCTCTCTGTCATTCTCTGACGTAAAGAACACCGAAGATGGTGACGAAGTTTTTATAGCAAATTTTAAGATGCATCTTATTTCAACGAAATTTGATTTCAAATGACTATTTCTTATGATAAAATTCTTATGATTATATTGATAATATTGAAATAAAGTCCTTTTTCTCTTATTGATTCTGTTACCAATATTGACAAGTGGCTCTTTAAATAACATAGATAATAAAGTGTTATGAGTTTAAGGTTTCTTGTTTATGTTAGGTTATTTCGCTTACACACAATATCAGCATCAAAGTAAAGTCTACTACTTTCGAAAAAATAATAGTTTTCCATACATTTTTAGTAGAATATTTTTTTAAGGGAGAAATCTGAGATGTACTCTTTTATTTTTATTTTAAAGAACCACAATAGCTCTCTAAAAGTAAATATAAACTTATAAACATTTCCTCAGCTCACTAATAACATAAGCATTTTTCGAAAAAAAAACAGCCAGTGTCGTCGAAAAAATTGCAAAATAATTCATTAAAAATTTGTTCGAAAAGCATTCTATTAAAAAAAAAGTGAAGAATTTTCTAGAGATGATAACGTCAGTAGGTAAATAAAAATTATAATGTTAATTCTCAAGTATATATTACCAACAGTATCATCTCTGAAACTAAAATAAAGAGAGGTTCCAAAATCAAATCGAATATTAATAAGTTAAAAACAAATTAACAACCAAGTCAAATGACGTCATTTCACAAAAAGAAATCTGAAGAAAAAAGGTCACAGTCGTTAGTTGGAAATACTTCCAAAATTAAATTTAACAGCTGCTAGCAACACCAATGCAAACTCACTTTCATACATGTGAAATGAAGTCTTAGAAGACGCGATAAAAAAGAAAGAAGAAGAAAACGTGCGTTTGTAATCAGAAACCACAGAGAGGGGGGATCTAACTACGAAAAGGGGGTTTAATGATGGGTGAGCTCGGTAGGTGGAGCCACTTGCGAATGGGGAGATGACTACTGTACAAGATCACAACACAATAGTAGGAATTGTTATAAATTTTGTTTTACAACTAACAACAAACATTTAGAATATTCTAGAAGTAGAAAATTAATAAACATGGTTTTATTCTTTTAATGTCACAACATAGCCATTAAAATGGCAATTAGCACCATAACACGTTTGGGTTAAAGTGCTAATTTGTTTACTTAATGCGGTCCGTAAATTAAGTAAACATATCACATATTAAGTGAATGAAAGATTACTTAGAAATGCAAGCTATATAATTTAACTCAATTTAAAACTTTAAAAAATATTTATAACAATTCCTTAGAACAATACTGGTAGGTATCAAATATAAATCCAAACATCGAACGGGGTCATGAAATGGGGGTCATGACAAAGGGGTCACATCATCATGCTTCATTGGGGGCCCCAAAACAAGGACTTACTCAGACCTCCACGGACCCGCGCGATTATCCGATTACGGACAATGGTCGGGAAAAATGGAAAAAAACACAGATATTATTTTCGGCTGGCAACAATTGCAAAAATATTTTTTAAGGGCGTGCATGATTTCCTTCAATCATCATGCCAGATGCATTCAATCATATTTAAAATTAAAACAAAAATTTGAAAAGAAAAGTGTCTAATTACATGCCTGATTATTTGCTTGGAACGAAAAATTTTTAAATAAAAATAAAACTTTAGTAAATAAACCACGTTAAATCAGCTATCTCCTACAAAAAGGGGTTAAGGTGTTGGTGGTTAAGTATATTACCCGTTATTATTGACAACCTAATGATAGCGCAAGAAGAAAGTTTTCTACGCCTAACTAAAACATAAAAGACATACTCAATTGTAACCGATATTCATATAATATCATTCTATTTAAACAAATATATAATCTCACTGAAGATATCAAGTAACTAGTAATACAGATCATATAAGACATTAAAACTAAACATGCGTTCTGAAAATAGCTAGCGTTGAATTTTAATTTAACAACACAGTCTAATAATACAATACTCTAACAGTTAACAACGGTTAATAATTTCGTTATTTTCCTGTAAAACTTCAGTACGTGTAAGGGGCGTCCATTAATTACATGTGGGGTTTTCGGCGATTTTCTGATCCCCCCTACCCTCTCCCACTCTGATGAGATGTCGTGAGATTTGATTCAACCCCCTCTCCCATCCCCCAATCTCACGTGGGATTTTTAAAGTCTGGCGTTGGCGTGTAAACAAACGACGAACCACTATGCAACTTCGCGGCACTCGCAATACTCTAAAATAAATATTATTGTATAAGACTTGGCCATATTTCCGTGGAGGAATATGTTTCACTTAATATAACTAGTTTTCTCTCAATTTTACTCCATTTCTTGCGGATAAAAAAAACGTGATATTTGCCGAGAACTCCCCCTTTCCCCAAATTAAGATTAGATGAGATTCGGCTCGACCCCCTCTCCCATCCCTGACTCACGGTAATTAATGGACGCCGCCTAAATATAGATAAAATTTTAATCGGCGGCTCTATGACAATTACTTTTTTAACAGCATTCTTGATAATATAATTCTTATATGATAAATGATCTATCATACACAGAAAGTCAGGTTGGATGTTCACATCTATAGTCTAGGAAAGCTTCCGTAACAAAACGACTATTTCTTGGGACCTGATTAATTTTTGGGCGGGGCCTTATCGATGCGTCACTATTTTCTTAACTCGAATGGATTATAATTACCCGCCAACTCAAAAAGTTTAGTGGATAATAGGTAATATATAGCTTTAACGGGTAATCCTCATTTAGAACCATAACATATGAAGAAAAAATATATGAAAATGTCAAAATTGCACGTGAGACAATATAACTATAATAAGGAGGCGGAGGAATATAACTTGTAGAGGGTAAAAGCAGTCGATATATTATCTATACAATGGGTCCCAAATTACTTGGTCTTGTCCTAATTATTTAAAAAATGGATTGCCACGTTACTGAAGTAATTTATACCACCTTGGATTCAAGGGAGGAGTCGACGCCCGGTTAGAACAAAGTTCCGCAAGAAATGTCGGAATAAGTCTTGTTACACATTTTTCGGTCTCGTTCCCATCCGCTCAGAGCGTGTAACACGCGATAAGGAATTTCGTTCTAAGAATATTACTCTCCTTCCATATAAACAAAAAGTTCATACATAAATTTATTTAGGAGATCTGTAAGTACCCTGACCTGATATAGAAATCTAAAATCGCTTTTTAACATCGTAACCTAGATCATATCATCGTGGTTTTTTTTTCAAGTCACCAACACCCGCCCCCCGTCACTCCACACAGTACAATATATACACAACAGTACACTATTAACCCTACGATACCTATATAAGATGTCACTAGCGTCCTGAACTTGCGATGGTTGCCCTTGATCTCAGGTAGGTCCACTAATACAACATATAGATCGTGTTATTTCTCTTTTGTTAAACTTTGTTATAGGACGGGGCCTCGAGAGTTACAGATTGTGGCCTCAATTATAAATCAATTTTATTTATGATAAAACTTATTTAAAATGTTTTCTTGTATTGTAGTATTTTTTATAAAATAAATTTTAATTTATTATTAAAAACAACTATACTAAAAATTTGATATGACAATAATGAAATTATCTAAGGCATCTATGAAGCAGGCAGATGATTGTGTATATGATCTGATATTATGTTTAACAACCACCTAACTGTAGATGCTTTAAATAATAAATGTCAGTCAGTCAATAAACTCTGGCTTTTAACACCAGTTTTGAACACAGTTTTTATGGTATTCAATGTCCTATCTATATGACAAAGCGTCTACAATTTAGATTATTATACATTGAATATTTGTCTACCTTCATTAACAATTTGTTAAATTATTTAGTAGAAATAATTTACGCACAAGTAATAAAAAATTAGTGCAAAGCCAATTTTCCGCGAACTCGAGGCCACGGCCTGTAATTGACAATATTAATTTGGACAAAAGCTTTGGTTTTAAACAAATGTCATACTACATTTAGTAGCGAATCAGATTACTTATAACATAATTTAAAGACTCCGACAAAATTAGATGATACAGCTTTATTTTTCTAAGTTATTTGGAATTGAAGCAGGCTTTTCATACAATATCTACCGAAAGCCGTCCCCAACAGTTGATTCAATAATTAAAATAAAAGATTATTGATATTTCCTTGATGTACGATTCGAAGTCTTTAAAAAATGTTGGCAAATTTGTACGCCACCTTTCTAAGGATTATTAAACACTGACGCGATGTTAACCTTCGTAGATTGGATTGGCTGTATGTATAATGTTAACTTATTTCAATATAGATCTACTATAGGGACCTTCGTACGGATCAAATGGAGATCGATGGCCTAATAATTATTTAGTCGATAAAAATAATAGATCGTAGTGAAATTTTATAAAATGAAGACTTTAGATGAAGCTTAGAACTTATCAGACAGCTTTTGACCAAAATTCTGACAATCAATGACATTTCTTGTTACAGTGTTGCCATATCAATAAAACGAAATGCTAACTTTGTTTTCATTTTTTCAGGCGTGTGTAATCAAAACCGATAGACATAAAACGTTTAAAAAATATCTGTTTTTATACGTGCAATGATTTTTTGATATCATCATTGTAATTTAAATATAGCCATCTATCTCCAAAAGAACCACATCCATTAGGAGATACTAGTTGGTTAAAAAATGTATATGAAATAGCGGCATGAATTTGAGCTTAACTAAAGATAGAATTTCACAAAAAAAAGATACTGAGAATGTTTAAGGCTGGTAATCCAACATCTGTTATAACAATACTTCTTTTCGGGTAAGGTATCCTTGGGAAAGAGCATAGATTAGTTTTTTTTAATCATAGAGTAATACTTACACGAAGGTATCTTCTTAAATACAGTTTTTGCCATGAAATCTAAAAATCTCTGAGCGTAGAAGCTTGGTCGATGAACCGAAACTGTGTCCTGAAATACATAAAAAAGTATTTTTCATTTTGCTTTTTACTGAGATATGTTTGAGCACCCCTCAGTTTGGTGCATCTTCCTGGTATAGACTTTTACCATAAGGAAATTAGCTTTTGTTCTTTCTGTACCTCTGTAAAAATTTAGTATGATAAGATGAGTAGCAAACACATATGGTTTTCAAAATCATTTTTGCCCATATCAAGGGTAGTTCAATTCATTTCGTTAAGTAGTACAGTGAGCAGTAAGTAACACTTTTTTATTTTGCGGCCATAAATGGAGGTGGGGGCGAGAGAATGTTATCACAGTGACTTTAATTTTTTTTTTTTTTTTTTTAAAGACAACCCACTACGAGGGTTGTTTTTCATCATTATATCCTGTGTCACGGGGGACTTCACAAACATGCATGAAATGGACACAAGTCTAAGTTTGACTAGGAACTAGAATCACAAATTGTCATACTATGTGGGGATCGAACCCACAACACTCCACGCGCTAGGAAGCAGGGAGCTGACCACTTAAACCACTACGCCATTCGCACAGTCAAAATTTCACTTCTACATCAGTAACTTACCCCATCGTGGATCATGCTCTTCCACGTGTGCTCCAGTTTCTTCCGAAGGCGGTACGACTGCAGGATGTCAATGATACCCAGGAAAAGGAGAAGGCGCTCACCGCGTTCGTTCCGCGCTGGAATTCCGCCAGGACTGAAGCACATATATATTGCTAAATTAGACACCAGCTCAACCGTACTGATATCACGGGATCTCACAGAAAGCCGGTGTGTGTGAGGTACTCTACTTAATAATTGTGTCTCATGAGTTGCAAGAGTCTATGGGCGGCGGTAGGCGCCTTCCATCAGGTGACCCGTCTGCTCGTTTGACCCTCTTCCAAAATAAGAAGAAAAAAAATGGGCGTCGGAAGTCTTACTTACTATTGGTTGATGGGCCTGCTCGTTTCCCTACTATACCAAAAAACCACGACGATCCATCACATATATAGGAAATCTTATGAATACTGATTTATGACGTTCACCAGTAAAATATACGTTAACAATTAAAGTTTAACGGGCCTGCTATACTGTTACTCAGGTCGTGGGTTCGATTCCAACCCAGGATAAATGCTGTGTAATGAGCACGATCAATTGTTATGTATCTAGGTGTGTGGGTATTTACAAGTATATAATTATGTTTATCAGTAGTCTGGTTACCGTAGTACAGGTTGAGCCTAGTTTGGGATCAGACAGCCGTGTGTCAGGTCATCATCATCATCACCAACAGCCTTTAGTAGTCCACTGCTGGACATAGACCTCTTCATAAAAATAAGGTTTTCGCCTACCATACCACGATGGTTAGATGAGTTGGTATAGGGTTTGTATCAAGTTTTCCTTCTCTTTGCAGTGCTTTTGTCCTGTGTTTGCTGCCTTAATCGGCTCTTACGACACCCACCGGATGAATAGGGGTGGGGACATTCCGTATTCTTAATCCGTCACCACACGTGTGTGATGTATGACAAATTATTATTATTATGTTACTCACGGTACATCCTCTTCTTCATCGATGGGTTCACTTTCTGCTTGTATACTCTCCATAGCTGTGGAATGGGCGACCAGCCGTTGGCGATTGATCGACCTGCAATGGAAATTGTTAACATAATATTTAATTGTAATACATAAGTGTTTATAGGCACAAGTCTTTTAAAGGTAATAATGATAATTGCCGACTTGTTTGTGTAATGGATATGACCTTGACTGCTTAACCAGAGGTCGTGGGTTCGATTCACACCCAGGATAAAAAATTGTGTGACTAGCCCGATCAATGGTTCTATGTCTGGGTGTAATTAATCTATAATTTGTATGTAAATGTATGGGTATTATCAACAGTCTAGTTACCATAGTACAGGTTCTGGCCTGGTTTGGGATCAGACGGCCGAGTGTAGGATGTTTCTAGTTATTATTATTATTTAACTTATCAATCTTTAATAAACTGAAACAGTAAATTGAAACTATGTATATACTTGTAATACTGGGTGTCGTGTGCAGTGTCCACCATTCAAACTGTAATAGGGGTATTAACGAATTGATGATGACAGTAGTGAAGATAAAGCGAACTGGTGATCAGATTCTTAAGCAAAATAAGACTTGTGCATACAAACAGCCATTTTCATTGGTGTTTACTGTTAGGAGAGTTATTTCTATTATAATCACAGATATCATTATTGTGAAACAAAAATACCTATAAAGTTCAATGATCCTTTTTAACTTAATTAAGTGCTATTACTTGTACTTCACTTTAAGTTAGTCTTGAAACTGGCGGACTGGCGGTATTATTTGTTATAATATTTTTTCCTTTAATAGAGAAACCCAAGATTCGGAAATTAAATCCAATGCCTCAAGGACTGCAGTCGCGTACCGTACCAACTATCTATAATTTGTAAACATTCAAGTCTTAATCCCCTTAGAGGTATACAGATGCGTATATATGTTTATGTATTTAGAAATTTATAAGTATGTTTATAAGCAGGCTCATTACCATATTACAGGTTGTGCGTAGATTAGGATCATACAGCCGTGTGAGTTATCTTACTAATTATTATACATAACCTGACAAAGCCGATAGCAAGCCCAGCTTTTGACCTTGTCTGCTGTTTTCATGATTGCTCCTTGTACTTATAAAAAAGGAATGCCAGAAAAATAAAATCCTGAACAACCAAGACTCGTACACAGCACAGTCTACATAAGATTCTTTTTTTGTTTCACAATAGCACAGTTTAATTAAATGGTAACATAAATAAGAAACTTGACTGAACTAAGTCATCCATGCTTTTAGATTTTAAATACACACATATTACGAGGCTTCAAGATTTTCACTATGTATTAATAAATAGACAAAACAATATGTTAATTTTTAAAAACCATTGCCACACTATCAAAACCGTGACTTTTATCAGAATTAATAGTAATGTGTTGTCGTGGGTGACCCGCAAACAATCGAGCTTGACTTGACTGACTGCACAGATGGTTCAGTGGTTTAAGCCAGTTGTGGAGGGAAGAGTTGTAGGTTCGATCACCACATGGGACAACACTGTGTGTAAGTCACATATTGTTATGCTGAGTCTGGGTGTTCTTTGTGTCCGTTTCATGTATGTTTGAAAAGTTTCCCCCGATACATGATTTATAATATACCAAGTACGGGAGCTGTTTTAAATAACAAAAAAGGAAAATAATACTTTATAAGTTCCTAAGATAGTGAAGTCAAAAGAGTTAAACGCAGATGTAAAAAGAAACAAGACACCTCGAACTTTAATTTCAAGTGTATTGAAGTGAAAAATCGTCACACATAAAAAATCTTGCAGCCTCCAGTTTTTTGTTTGTTAAAACATGCATAAAAGTAAATAGTTTTCTGTTGTTATAATTAACATCTTATGACGCACATGACGCAAGGGGAAGAAAATATCGATCACATATAACTTTAGTCGATTTTTTTGTCGTTCTTTATTTACTAAAAGTGATGTAGATATATTTAATCAATTAACTAAAGTATTTTTTTTTATTGCAAAGCTATAAACAGAATATGAATATTGTTTTATAAACAAATTTATGATACCAACTTTATATACTTAGTGTTCCGAAGTTCCATAAGTATTTAAGTTAGCCTTTTTTTATGTGATATTTATTTATAAACCACTAATTTTATTCAACGATTATTGAATAAAGTGAGTGAACATATAAAGATATAGAAGTCTTTTTCACTTAGTAAGTATAATGATGAATGATAATATGTATACGACGAAAAAGAATCGACTAAGAAGAATTAGAAAAAATCAATAATCGAATAAAAGTTTAAATTATAGTAATATAACATTAAACAATGATTTCTATGTGCACATATCAAACATCTTAAGAAATTTATTTTACAAGAGGGAAAATATTCTGTTAAAATATAAACAGTTTTTTTTTATTTGATTTACTTGACTTAACTATTTACTCATAATATTTAGTTATATTTATATCTATGTTTTTCACCTTTTATTTAATGTCTCATAAATCATCAGATTATTGAGCAATATTAAGCTTTATTCTTTAGAAAAGAGATATTATATGTCATTAATGTATTTTTATATGTAGTGCACTGCAAAAAGAAGAAAAAGTTGACACAAACCCAATACCAACCCGTCTGGCCAGTGTGGTACAGTAGGTCAAAACCTCATTTCTAAAGAGAGGCTATGTCCAGCAGTGGGCTATTATATAACACATCCATATAAGACAATGGTAATATTTGGTCAAATATAACATATAAGAAATATATGCTTTTACAGATTTGATTTATTTAAAAGGTTCACTATTAATTGAGATGCGAATTCAGACTCTAATGTTTAAACCAACGGAGTTTTTATTCCGTTGAGTCGGTAGGGTATTCATAGAAATCATTGTACAAAAGATTAATTGTTAGAAGACATTATAATAAACATTCAAACATATAAATGTATATTACTGGGTCCTTTTCACTTGTGCGTTGAAATCGTCCCTGCCCTCCGATCTGAAATTTTTTTTATTACAAAATTTCTAAATACCACCACCGAGATCCTTAAAAAATGTGTATAATTTATAATATATAGCATATTATAATACCTCCAGAGGTACAATCAGCAACTAAGCAAAGTTTTTTAAAATTGTTTAGTATAGGTTTTTAAGAACCATGGAATATTGAGCGTTGAGTTCAGCGATTCTTCAATTCAATTCTTATTAAAAGTAAAAAACAAATGTACTTGAACTTATCAATGGCTAACAAGTTACTACTGCAGGTATTAGTGGCAAGGTTTCTAAAGTCTAAAGTGTCGTTTTTTTTGGTTCGTGAGACAGTTTTGTTGCTGACTGTACTGAAGTTCTAATATAGAAAACGAGACTTTTGGGGTATAGTATGAATAAAAAAAGGAAAAGAGCGCCAGTCAGATAGTTAAGCAACTACTACAATGAGCAACGTGGCGTCCAGAGCTTTTCTTTTTGTTTGTTTACAGGTTAGATAGAACATTTATTAGTAAAAAAAAAAATGTTTACTGTTGACTTAAGATCAAATTAAAATATTTTTCGAAATTTGTGTATTACCCTATTTGGGGGAAATGTCTGGAATTAAATAGTATGGTCTGGTACTCGTTTTCTATATTATAAGAATACCACACAAATGACCATAAAACGGTGTAAACACATACATAGCAATTCATTGAAATAATTCTAATTTATAATTTCCACACATGCGTACATTTAAGGCATTTTAAATTTAAGGGTGCATTCGCGAAATTATTTTGATTTGTCTAAATCATATAGATTGATTAAATATATTATTGAATTCAAACCTGATATATTTTATTACTAAGCTGACATGTTATGCTATGTTATAGAAGGGTGTTGCGTATACCATGTCCATTCGCGTTAAGAAAATAGTGACACATCAAGCACTCTGACCAATGAGGTTCCAAGCTTTCGTGCGATACGATAATTTCTTGGAACCTGATTGGTCAGGAGGCGGGGTTTATCGATGCGTAACTGTTTTCTTAACGCGAATAGAATATAGACACCGTAGCTTAGTCGCTTTTTTAGAAAGAACATTCGTATTTTTAATGCAATAAAACCTCATTTCAAAACTAGTAAATTGAATTATAAAATTGGCTCAAGACTAAGGTTAAATGGTGATAGACCTACTTAACTTAATCATTTTAATAGTCAAATCAAAATCTCATAGAGTGCACCTTTAAATTATTTACCATATTGGCCATATTGGATGGTAACAAATAAATTGACTTAAACATTTAATGAAACATGTTCACAGTGACATTTTAATCACTATAACTCTAATGTTATTTATTTATAATTTACTGTAATTCTGTCTTTTAATAAAAACAAAGAAGATTGTTTGAATACCAAATATTCCGGTCTCAAAACTGGCTATCAATTCTTACCAAATTAAGACCAACCTTGTTCTATTGAGCCCGCTCTTCTTAGGTTCACCTTCTGCATCTTCGTCGCTTTGTCCAGGGTCATTACGTAGCCGAGCCTCGGTTTTTTCTCTCTGAGCCTCGTCGAGATTGTGAATACCGACAAGCAGAGAGTAATCCATGATCTGTGGAATAAGATTAACACAATATAACACTAAATTCATACTAATATTTTAAATGCGAAAGTTGTCTTTTATAGAAGACAAAAACAAAAAACACTAAATCGATTTAAATGAAATTTGGTATAGAGACAGTCCGAGTCCCGAAAGAGGACATAGAGTAGTTTTTATCCCAGAAAGCCACGAACAAAAGCTGGTGAATTATAAATAGTTATTGTATTGATTATTGGGATAATTTTGAACCTGATACTAAACTGCTACAGAAAACCATTGTCAACCCCCCCCCCCCCCAATCCGTGATTCTAGAGGGGGGTAAAAGGACGGCGAGACACTTGTGACTCTCGAGTTGCAGGTGTCTATGGGCGGCGATAGTCACTGACCCGTCAGCTGGTTTGCCCCAATGCCATTAAAAAAGTACATTTTATTTGTGTGCTGATGAAGGTCGGTCCTGTTAGTGTCACGTCAATGTCACCGTGACTTTACCCTTTTTTAAATCAAATCAAATCATGCAAATTCGTACTCAGTGTATGTATAATTAGATCGAACCAGCGACCTCTGGCGCAGCAGTCAGGAGCCAATGTAGCCAGGTAACTAATAGGGATGGCATAAAATCGCCATAACATGTGATAAATCTTATGATTTACTAAGTCTATCATCATATCAGTGACTGATTCACGAAACCACTGCTACTTAATTATTATTATTAAGCAAACTCAAGACTAGCCTAACTCTAAAAAAAGGAATTTTGATTGATTTTAATGCCATTTATCTTTCTCTATGACAAAATCACAATCACTTGTGAAATTGCTGTGACTAAACAAATCATTTCATCAAAGGAATATGATTTAAAAGTAGCAATAATTTCCATGTCTACTAACGACTAGACAAATAAAACTGTCTTATAAAACAGAAAGCTAAAAAACAGAGGTAGTCATATGAACTGTGGGCAGAAGTAAAAGTCAAAGAATAGAACTACGCGTCGTTAGCCGAAAATCGCTTAACGCAACTAATGAAGTATTCACTTAAATAAGGGCTGACAGGATAACGGCTATGCTTGATGCCTTACCAAAGTTGGTGGCCCCAATGACCCAGATCTCAACTTACTAAGTACCTCTATTTAAAGAACCACCGAGAAAAGCGTTCTAATCTCTTCTTAAAGTGAAAAAAAAGAAGATACTCACCTTGAAACTTTCCAAGACTCGACAGTCCCGCTGCATCGTCTTTATGAGAGCGTTATACGTATCTGCCTCGAGGAATAGACCTTCTGAATGGTGCTCCATGAAGTCTAAGTCCTTGTAAGTAGGTGATGTCTTTTGACGTTCTCCTTTGCTTGCCTGAAAAAATGTATAAACAAACATCAGTAGCAAAAAAGCTGAAAACGTTTAGCTCCTAAGATGTACAGTCTTAAAAATTTATAGGCAACTGGAAGCGAAGGGAAGAAATCATATTAAACGAACCCAAAAGACTAGGATTCAAATCGAACACTTACATCAAGAGGAAAATAACTCAGTTCAAAGCTACTTGTCGTGACGGACGTGACTTTTTTTTAAGCACAAGCATTTATGTTATTTTTTCTATAACCTTGGTTGTAAAATTTTGCTAGTAAAGGTGATAAGTAGTACTGTTCGTTTTCGCCCACCAACTATTTACAATAACTTTAAGTGCCTGAAGCGAAAATTCAGCCTATATACTCATCTCCTTTTATTAGTCTATTGAAAACCAAATATGAAGTTTAAACTCATGAAGAGATGCTTTCATTATGTCCATCTTATACATATACGTTCTCACACCTCTTTCTCGTACGGGATAGGCAGAAACTTTTGCGGTTTACCTGCACTCACAGAGGTCTTATAATCTCTTTTGGTCATTCGCTTTTCGCTCACCCTTTCAACATACCCATACCATTGTGGTATCAATTTCTCAATTATTCTTAAAACATCTTTTAAACCACACCGTTGTCTTACCTCTTCGTTTCTCACTCTATCAGTTTAAATGTTTACCTTTCTCTTGTAAGTGGATCCTTTGAGATCGTACTTCTGATGTAACTTGACAGATGATGGCAGTATGTTGTTCATTGCGACCAGCCTCACGTTCTTGCTGTTGCACTGGTAACAGTACAAGCCGAAGAACTTTGGTAGTAATGTGCGCGGGTTCTGGAAAAGTTAAAAGTCATAGTTTTGAACATTACATTACAAATTCGACCCTAATTCTTTACTTATGTGGAGGAAGATGTCCGTGCTTGAAATTACGTAAATAAGTTGAAATTACTTACACACCATTTGAATCAGTCAACCTGTGACCACAGTCATTGCAACGTTAACAAACTTAATTACCTATCGTGAGCGCGGTGATTTCCGTAAATATAATTACGTACGAGTATATAACATTTAAATCTTTTGTTTTTTCTTTTTAACAAACAGTATCGATACTGAGTACAGCCTTAAAAACAAAGTATAGAATATGACAGGACTGAGTATCTAAGGCAGAGTATAGATTCCTTTTAGGAATCGATACAGTTATGCATATAGTACCGTTTTGCAGATTTGACACTATTTTTAATATATCTCTACAACGCATCTTGGAGTTTTGTTAGAAGAGATACATCATCACAGGTCACTTACCTGATCCAGGTTCAAGTAGTATCCAGGTAGCAGTTTTTGAAGGAACTCTCCCTCCTTATGCTGCACCGTCTTTATAATAAACTCGTCGTCCATGGTTAGGTAGAAGATGCTACCGGACGCACCGGGGTTGCTCAACTCGCGGAGTGGAGCACTACACATTGACATCTAAAAAAGAAGATAAAAATCAATACCGGACAATATTTCTTTTTAGATGTTAGCATTTCTTCTGAAACTTTGAAGATCCCTTAAAAGACCTTAAGTTGTAATTAAAAAAAAATAATTAAAAAAATAGGATAGAAAGGAGTGGAATTTTTTTAAGATTCATGTTTTTTTTACACCTTTGTGTATTCTATATCCCATCCTAACTTCTCCTTTCCCCTGGGCCTAGAGGACCGGGAGACTTCTAAACCTCTCTCGGTCCCGCTTCGCAGTCTCTTTTGCAAGCATAACTTGCTCGCAGAATGAGACGGCGGAGTACCACGCGCTCTCGCTCCATATCATCGCCGTTATCATGGTACCGAGAGAGAGAATTCCGACTCCGATGGCCGCCATACAATTTAACTTTGGCAAAAAGTATCGAATAAAATAAAAAATCTTGTTCTACTTCCCGTTTGGTTTCATTCAAATTTGAAGAAGAAATACCACTCCACTTAAATTTCATCATAAAGTAGGCAAATTGGTCGGTAAATTGGTCGGGGTGGTTTTGATAGTATTTTATTCTGAATGAGTGAGCTTTACTTACCAAGAAATCATCGGGCTGAATCCCGAACAGGTCTCGGAAGTATCTGAACGCAATCGGTGCGTACGTTTTAAACTTAAATTCGGAGTAATGATGAGCCGGCGTGTGATTGGAGCCCTCGTGAGGAAAATTCGTCGTCTCAACAGTCATGAAATCTTGCATCAGAAGATCACGTTCAGGTTTTGAAGCTAGACCACCAATTGCGTGTTGGATTCCTGAAAACAAGGATAAACGCCAATTAGAATAATGATCTTTAAAATATATACGTTTTTATATCTTACTAATATTATATAGGCGAAAGTTTGTATGGATGTTTGTTACTCTTTCAGGCAAAAACGGTAACGAAACGGATCTAGATGAAATTTGGCACAGAGATAGATTATAGTCTGGAATCGCATATAGGCTACTTAGTATCCTGACAAATGTAGTGTTCCCGTGGGATGAGCAAGGTACAACAACCACGGATAACACCACGGCGGCGCAGCTAGTGATAGAATAATAGTAAGGTATGTATAATCAATTGGCATGTTGCTGTCGTAAAGACCTTTCAATCCTTTTTAAGCTATTATAGGTAACTAATGGACTAGTGTTTTTTTTTTTAAACATAACTAAATTCCTATCCTGCGTCGCGGGGGACTTTACAAATATACACTGGGATGTTGGTATAGTGGTTAGTGACCCTAACTGCTACGCCAGAGCCCTCGTGAGTGCGATTTCCACCTCAGATAAATAATTGTGTGATGAGCACGGTCATTTGTTCTGTATCTGGGTGTACTTTGTGTGTTAGTATTTAAAAATATTTAAGTATGTTTATCAGCAGTCTGGTTACAATAATACAGGCTCTGCCTAGTTTGAGATCAGACGGCCGTGTATGAGATGTGTGAAAATATTTATTATGATTATAGATGAAATGGCCACAAAGAACACCCAGACTAAGTACAATAATTTTTGTATTACACAGTGTTGTAACATGTATGGATCAAACCCACAACACTCAGCGCAGTAAGAAGCGGTGAGATGACCACTTTAACCACTACGCCATCCGTGCAGTCGTAGAGTTTGCGGCACTTACAACTTTTACCCATCGTGTTATTTATAATTATTGTAACCAACACCACGACAGACATTTAAGCAACCTATGCCTTGACTATCTCTAGGTCACACGCCATCAAAAACACAACGAGATTATCAGATTTAATGGAATTTTAATTACAGTTCTCCATAATTCCAACGTCTGTGTGAACTACAATTTGCGCAGAACAAGTTAATCACAGTTTCACCAACAGTTATTTTGTCAAACCGGTATAACGCGGAAAAATTGCATAATTAAACCATATTTGACTTTTAAGGAAAAACATTCCTTATTTATTCAACACAACTTATATTATTTGAGTGGTACAAACTGAACAGGCCAATAGTTTTGCTTGAACTAACTAAAATATTTTAGGTAGGGTCATGGCAGAAACATCAGTGTCAATTGTGTAATCTGCCCCAGCATTACGCCCATCATGGTTAGGATCTTTATTGATGAAATCACAAACACCTAAGTAGGGATTGTCGATGATGCCGTAACGAACACGCTAGCCTAGTGAGCAGCCGAAGGCAGACTTTTTTAAAATAATTTTATCTAAGACCGAACTATATTACTATAGAATAAAATGGCAACAAATGTTAAGACCTGACAATTTCGAAATAACAGACAGATGTCATTATGACCGATATTCTATGAGTAGAACATGACGATATCTCGATAGTTTAAGTTCATCTCTGTTGAGTTGTGTAAATTAAGATGAAGCGGAGATATAAGCATTAAAATTTTCGGAATAGGCGACAATTAACTACTAAATTTCCAGACTCCAATAAATAAATTCTTGTCCTAAAAGACTCTTATAAAGAACATACGGTCATAATGCCATCCATTCACCATCATCATCATTATCCGAGCGTTAATCCCGGTTGCGCCCGGTGACGTCCGCTTTCCGACTCATTCTTATTCACTTCGCACGGTCCTCGGCATCCCGCGTTGTGAGACCATTGGCACGCATATCATCCCTAATAATCAGAATGGCATCCATTACCTCATACTATCCAGAAACTCAACATGAACGCTGTTCTGCTTTTTGCAACTCTCCTAGTGTTTGAAAGGTTAGACCTAAATTAGTTTTTTAAAGTTCAATATTACAAGAAACTGTTTTTCCGTGTGGTGGAGGATTAAGAATACGGATTATTATCACCCCTATTCATCCCATGGGTGTCGTAAGAGCCTACTAAGGGATCAAAGTACGCAGAACAACTAACTGCACTGCAAAGAGAAGGAAAACTTGAAATAAACCCTATACCAACCCGTCTGGCCAGCGTGGTATAGTAAGTCAAAACTTCTTTTCAGCAGTGGACTATTATAGAACATCCATATAAGGCAATGGTAATATTTGATCTATATAAGAAGTATATGCTTTTGCAGATTTTATTTATTTAAAAATTGTACAAAAGATTAATTATGTCAGAAGATATTACAATAAACATTCAAACCTATAAATGTATATTACTGGGTCCTTGTCCAGCAGTGGATTGTTAAATGCTGTTGATGATGATGATGATTTCAAGAAACAATTATTCATCTGTTTATCAAGTAGTTTTTTTTTCATACATAAATAGAATCCGAATGAATTATACTGGCATGATTTCTATGCGATAAATAGAGGCAAAAAAAGTTAAACGCAATTAGATTGTTCTAGGAACAAATAAGTAACATATCAGCTTAACAGGATAATTTTATTGTCTCGTATTAAATAAACAGTAGGTTTTTGTAACTATGTACCACACAACTTCAATCAAGAAAATATTATAGTTTTAAAATATACCTATTCTAATCGATTGCAAGACAGAAAAGTGTTAACAGTTCTAAAAACTTTGATATTCAAATAAATAAAACTGAAATGTCTGTTTGTAATGTCAAAATTATATGTTTTTTCATGCTCACACGGTTATTTGCACGATACCTATGCCTAAAAACCAGTTTAATTTTTTTGTCTATTTGTTCCGGGGAATCTTCTAAACGGCTGGACCAAATGAGATAATATTTTACTACCAGGTAGCTGTCTACATAAGGAATAACTTAGCCTATTTTTCCTCTCAGAAAACCCTTCAAAATTTTGACCGGTCCACCTATAAAAGCAATATTTGGGCAGGGCCAGGGGCAATATTTGGGACACTGCATTGACGTGCTTCCTTAGACGTCCCATTTAGCAAGAATTCTGCTTTATTCTACTTCCTTGAGTTGTGATCTCATTGAAGCCGGAGATCACCGTTAGAGAGACAGATCACTACAGATGAATCTAATTAGAGCGGCCTGGTACGTGACTAGGAAAACGTAATCGTGATACTATAAGGATGCTCTTTTATCCACTTAGTTGCAAAAAAAATTGCAGTTTAGACAGCTTGAATTTTAACGAGTTATTTCGTCTGTATAATAGACAAGATTCCCCAGGCATAAGGTCCGGTTTGGCGTAGCGCCGATTCGGGGAGGATCTGAAATCGTATAGTCCGAGTCCTCTCCAGAGTAAGGCGTCTGAGGCCAGGCGTCGGAGTGGTTCTTATGTGGAAACACTACAAGGAGACGTGGCTTTTCCACCCCGTTGTAGCAAAATAGTAGCAGCGGTCGGCCCATTCACATATCGTGACCTACTATTTATGTCGTAATAATTAGTCGCTATTGGCGTAACGTGATCGTAACGATACCGTAATTGTATTTAATCACGCGGATTTATATTAGTTACACCCTAAAATAGCTGGGGTGGCGAGAATTAAAGGATTAGGGCTCCGGACTCAACCATTTGGAAAAAATAGCATGCCAGACTGTGCGTGCTTTTCTTGCACAACCAATTTGTCTAATAAATTGTGGACTGTGGTATTTCCGGACTGAGACCATCAATCCCTTAAAGAAAAGAGCGGATGGCGGCTTCTTGAAAGATTTTCTTTCTATTTTATACCTGAGGTCCTAAGAAATGACCTGATTACAGAACACTGGATATGGTTTTAGTCGCTTTGAATCCAATATTCCACCGTTTGGCCCCAGTGATGTGACAGCCCGAAGGTCATGCCACACAACAAAGAAGGTGACCATGGGTGGAGATTTACTTAATTGATGATGTAGATAGTCGACGTTCTACGTAACTAATATTTTTGTTTAGAAATCCGATTACAGTTTTAAGTTTCATAATGTTTATAGATAAATCAAATTTTTATCAAACGCTTTGTACACTTTTAAAAGATATGTATATATATATATATATATAGATTAAACATGACAATGTAACGCAGTATTTTTTGCGATAATATTTCTAAAAGGGCAAACTGTTTTGTTAAGCCGACGCGTTTCGATCAAATTGTACAGTTCGTGGTCACAGTAGACACAAGAGTGTTGAATAAAACTTTGGATAAAAGGTCTCGTAACACACAATTTCGTCGGGAGAGTCATGTTTCGACATAGATGCTTTTCAGCGTGTGAGCGAGGTAACCGGAGACCAACCCCCTCCCACTGATTCGGGGGGGGGGGGGGGGGAAGTGTCGGTAAAGCATTTTGTAAATTGTGAGTTGCAGTTGCAGGTGTCTTAGGGCTTTAGTCACTTACAACCAAGTGACCCGTCGGCTCGTGTTGCCTATACCATAAAAATCTAAACACACTCAGATATCAAGACCCTACAACCGCTCATAAAAACATTACTAATTTAAACTTGACATTGAATGATAACAGCAGCCTTGATTCGTATCGTCTATCTGTTTCCTGTAGCAGGAAGCTATGAGTCTTCCTATTTTTTTTTGTTGTATCTTTTTTGACTAAATGACGAATTCGAAATGTATTTACGCAAATGTAGACTGTGTATCTACGTGGGTAGAGTGACAGAACCAAGGCACGGCAAGTCAACATTGTTCGTACCTGTAGTTTTTTATTTCTAAACGTTTGGTGACGGATTAAGAATACGAAAGGTTACCACCCCTATTCAACAGCAAACAGCACTGCAAAGAGATCCTTCAAACTTGAAACCAACCCTATACCAACAAGTCTGGCCAGCGTCGTATGGTAGGCCAAAACCTCCTTTCTAAGGAGAGGGCGAGTGGGATGTTAAGCAGTGGACTATGAAATGCTATTGATGATGATGATGATGAAACGTGTTTCTTGAAACACTCGTTATTGGTGGAATGTCTGCGTTGACCC